CTAACTAAACAGACTCGATGCCTTTGATTTTGCACGTCCAACTTTGCTTGCTCGATCAAATCTCTTTTAGTTTCGTAACCGTTTACACTTAACCATACCGCGTGAGTGGTGACTAATTTAGCATATTCAAATTTAGTGGCAAAAGTTGAGGGCATTTGACTTTTATAGAATCGTTGAGAAATTTGTTTGGTTTTTTCCGACCCAGTTTCGGGAAAGTCCCTTTTGGGGTCAAGGGTCACTGGGTTTGGGGGCCAAAGGTCACGGGGTTTGGGGTCAAGGGTCCCGGGGTCAAGGGGTTTTGGACAAGTCCCTTTTTGGGGTCAAAGGGTCACGGGGTTTTATAAACCAGAAGTCACGAGTTTTGTCACTCGCCTTTTGGCCCGTTAGTTGAGCCCAAATTTTGTACGCGGCCGCGACCAGTTGGGGAATTCCCCGAGCTTGGGAAAGTCCCTTCTGATCTGGAAAGTCCCTTCTGATCTTGGAAAAGGAGAGGATGGTCTGCTCTGGTATCACCTGTTCCCTACTACTAGAATTTCGCGCAAGGAGAGGGAAATTTAAAACAACAGAACAGAGGGCTTTTTTCGTATTCCTTTGTTAATTTCAAAAACCAATCTGCATAGGTACAAGTTTGATGAAGATCCAAAGTTGCAAAAGTACTAAAGTCGTGCACAGACTAAAAGTGCACAAAACAAATGGCCTTTTGAGCATAAAAAGAAAAAGGAAAGGAAGACCAGAGGTCTCTGTCTGTGTAACAGAATAGAGGGCTTTTTTCGGTGAATTCAAGTCATTTACTATAAACAAGACAGTTTCAGGCTCTTACGTCACACTTACATAATTATTTCGGCATAATATTTTTATGGGGTCTTTGCGTGGTATAACTTTGATGACGGTTGAAGTTCGCTTACAGACCAAAAATTGTGCATTCAAAACTGGTTAAAAGTCTACTGGACGATAAAAAGAATTGAAAGATCAATAATGAATCACACGATGATGTCGTCTGACGTCAGTACGATACAATCTTTTGATAAGGGCTGTTACTTGACACTTGGTGACAATTCAGTTTTGCAAAATCGCCAAAATAGTGTTTTGAAAATGAATACAAAGTCAAGGGGACGAAATAAATGTTAAGAAATCAATAACAAATTGCTTGATGACGTCATCATTACGTATTTCATTTGCAATAATCCTGTACCAGTGTCTTTGTTGGCTTTCACTTTGGTAACGACAAAAGATCACAAAGATACCAAAATTGTGGCTCGAAAACGTGTACAAAGTCAATGGGCTACATGTATAAACCCGGTTGCAGAAACACTTCTCCTTTAAGTTCATGTCACATGTTTTGCGCTGAAAGTGAATAATTTTAATGAAATATTACTTAACATTCGGACTCTTCGGTACATTTTAAACCAAACAACAGAGCTTAAAGCCCACGATGGACGGCGCTCGACAATTAGGTGACGTCACCAGTAGATAATTTGAAAAATACTATATCCCAGCAGACTAACACCGTTGAAAACAACTCGATACCTATTACGACAAGAATATAATATCAAAACAGTACTCTGAAATATGTGATTGCTGAGCCTTCGGTAACTGAGTATTTTCTTCAAGGCAACCCAGATTTAGTTCTGAATAAATGCGGAAAAATCACAGTGAATTAAAGACCACGTTTTATCCTTCTCTTTCAAGTTATCTGCAAAGTTTCAACCTGATAGAACATGCACTTCAGGAGATACAGGGCTTTAAAGAGTGCACCTTTAATGTCAAGTGACTTGTCTCCTGATGGCTTCATCATCACATGAGGTCAATTTTTCTCTAAAGCAATCCCTTTTCAAGATATCTGCAAGATGTGAACCCGATCTGACATCTGCTGTAGGGGATATAGTGTCTTAAAGGTTGCAGCCTTAATGTCACTTGACTTGTCTCCTGATGACATCATCATCAGATAAGGTCAACATTTCTTTAAAACACTCCCTTTTCACGATATCTTACCAACTTGCCCCCTAGCCAACTCGCCCCCTAGCAAACTCGCCCCCTGACCGACTCACCCCCGAGCCAACTCGCCCCCTAAGTTTGCCAAGCACGTATGGCCGGCCCATTCACCATTTAATAAAAAATACAATCAGTCAGAGATGGAATCGGTGATTGCTGCCCTTAAAAATAGGTTCTGGGGTTTGCAGCTGGCACTCAAAGTTTTTTTTATATGGGTAAAACTAATTCAGTATTATCGTGTGTATGGGCCATGGCGCTGCGTTTCCTGTGTATTGTCTATGGGATTTTGTGCGCCACAACACCAACACCCTACCATATTAATATATGTGAGGTCCCAGTCGAGTGAATGAGCAACAGAACACTATAACTAACTTATTAACTGGATATCGGGTCACTACAAGAAGATGCAGTCACATACCCAAATATTAATGGGAGTACTCCCTTTTAAAGATATCTGCAAGATTTGAACCCGATTAAACATGTACTTCAGGAGATATGGGGTCTTAAAGAGTGCACCTTTAATGGCACGTGACTTGTCTCCTGATGTCTCCAAATTCCCCTAAAGCACCCCCTGTTCAAGATATCTGCAAGATTTGAACCAAATTGGATATACACTTCAGGAGATATAGTACTTTAAATGAGGCACCATTTAATGTCACGTGACTTGTCTCCTGATGGTATTTATTGTCATCACCTGAGGTCAATTTCCGTTTGTAAAGCACCCCCTGTTCAAGATATCTGCAAGATTTGAACCAAATTGGATATACACTTCAGGAGATATAGTACTTTAAATGAGGCACCATTTAATGTCACGTGACTTGTCTCCTGACGGTATTTATTGTCATCACCTGAGGTCAATTTCCGTTTGTAAACCTTCACTTCTTAACTGCCTGCAAGGTTTCAACCCACTAAGACATGTACAATACAATATACAATACAAAACATACTTATCGCAGAAAACGCACAGATTAGATATCTGAAACATTTGTCCCATTTGGCGTTCCATACAATACGATCCGCTCTCGGTAGCACGTGGTCGGCATTTTGCCAAGTCCCGAGTATTATGCCCTACGCACTGTGCGCCGTCTGTTGCAGGCAGATATTGGGCGTCTACACACCCACACAAGCATCCTTACACAGCTATACTTTTGGGAGTATTTCCTTTGTTCTCGTGTACAAAACTCCCACACAAACGCAAAAAATTTCAAATCACTCCAATTCGATTCAAACAAATTCACTTTCCTGGGTTGAAATTTCGACCGTATGTCGCTTATATAGAACACTTCAATTTGCGACGGATTTTTACCCATCAAAAATTTCCCTTTTTTGTGTTATTTCCAAATATCAGTTTCCTGAACTTCTTGTGGGGTTCCAATTTTGGTACCCCACAAGGTAAAAACTGGCCTTCTGGGGTACTTCCCATTGTTCTGGTACCCTGCAAGCTCCCATGTATAAGCGCAGCCATACACACACGGCGACCGCGCCGCGCCAATGCCACACAACACGGTCCATGGTCTGCGTCTGCATACACAATCTGAGTCAGCCTCGCATCGACAGCGGAACAACATGGCAGTCATCTTGACGTCGACGGTTGCACAATCCGTCCTTGCTAACTGCACATTCACGGGCAAAGTCGTGGTAAAAATGGCCTGCCAACATCACAATTGTCACCAGTGCCCCTTCAGATGACGCTAAACAATAATTTGGCAGCATTTATCGAATATTTTTTGTAAAAATGAGCGTAATGTAGCACGGTCAGAAGACACGTAGTCAGAGCTTCTTGTAAGTAATTTATCTCTTAGTAATTTATATCGACGTGTCGTGATGCACATAATACGGCTGTTTACTGTAATGCTTACACTGGAAAATATATCAAAGAAATTTTGATTTTATTCTATAATTTTCAATGGCAATGACAACTGTAGTCTGGTATCCGATCTTTTTACCATTTTAAATCGAGTTGATGCAGACACAAGTCAATTTGGAGTGGCCCATGAACATGAATGAAGAAAAATGCACAAAAAACAAATGTGAAACGACAAATTTTACGGACAAAACTCCAGCAAACAAATTCTACAAAATCGTATTTATGAATGGGAATTCGGCTCCGGCAATTATCAGCCTTCATACTCCTGAGCCGGTCTTAAACGAGCTTTTAAGACCGATCCGGCAGATATTTATTCCCTCAGTAATGATACGAATTACCATATCAAAACAATTCGACGTCATGCCCGAGGCTTCTGCATCGACAGGGAACGAGTCACATCGATGTCGTGTTGAGCGAACGACAGTGGTAAATATCCCTGGGCGAACTCTGCAGGAGCAATCGTTTTGCTGCGTCTCTAATTTCACCATGAAAACTATATAACTGATATCAGAACACCGAAACCGACCTTATGATTCATGGTTGTTTTTTCATCAAAATCCAGATCCCTCTCAAACTATACGAATCTCTGAGCTGCATTTTTTAAAAATTGTCCTTTCCTTGCAATTCCTCCCAGAAAAAAACAAACCCTGGGACAAGCCTTAATTTGAATAAGGGTCATTCGGGGACGAGGCTCACAGTGCGAACTCCTGACAACGTTGCTACAGTTCGACAGCAACTTGTCGACCAGTCAGGGAACCAGTTGCAGGAGGAATGGACTTGGGCACGCGGAAGGTGTCGGTGCATAATTAACTGTGAATTACGTAATGTGTAAATAATCTGTGCGCCCCTGATATTTTATTATATCTTTCCACAGACATATCTACTGCCCTCCAAAATGAATTTTCCATATTTGAAGTTTTGGAAATTTCATTTTCAAAACTTGAGGTGCAGTATCTTCTCATGGTGCAAAATACTTCATGTGTTCAAAAGCCAGAATGAGACGAACTTCTGGCAGTGTGTTTTCGTGTGCAGTTCTATACGTGTCACAATTTAGCTCCCGCATGTGTAGGCTAAATGAGCAGAAGTTCTTTTGACACCGAGAAAAAGACATAAACCACTTCGAGTTCCACTCACAGTATTAAAACTGCGTCTGAACGCTCGGATCGTTTTAATTTTACGACCAACTTCCTTGGTTAGCAACTGTTTTAACTTTTGCAGCTGTTCTGAACATAACCGTAGAGTTGAGTTAGTTCATCATGAGGCCATCTTTCAAACTGGACGGTGTGGTCGGTTGAAGATTAACAAAGGTAAAGTAATGTGAGGAATTTCGTTATTATGATATTACAAACACTGGTAAATATCAGTGCTCCTTTTTGACACATGTACCTCTTTGAAATTACTGACCCATTCCCTGCGTTGTGTGCACCTCAACGTGTCGATTTGTTATTTGTACAAAAACGATCGTAATGTACCGTATGAGAACATTTGGTTTATTCAAAGACTTCAACTCAGATTTTTGGAAACCAACTTTTCTGGCTTGAAAACCTGGACCCAGCTATAGAGGGCACGATTGCAGTACTATACAACTCTACCAATAAAAACTGTGCTGGTTTTGATGAAAATCTTGAAACATACTTTTTTCTTGACATGCATGACTATTTTGACTTCAATTGATTTCGAGACGACTTTTTAAAGTCAATGTTCAGTGTAGATTTGCAGGCCGATTCAGAATCTGACAGTATTCTAATAATAATTATAGATATCGCAATACAGCGTTTAAATAGGTTGCAATTAATGCAACTGAAACTTGTAAATACATTAATAAACTTCAATACTACAATATTCTTCTGACATGCATAAATTTATATTTACATTAAATTGCTACAATAAATACCTCTATACATGTATATGCTCAATGATTAAAATTATAGAGATTTTGTTTTTTAATGCTCACAGTTATTGCACGTAAGATGTCAACTTTAAAAAGAAAAAATAGTTCAAAAATAGTGTAACATAATTTTTGATCTCCAAATAAAGGTTGTAAATCGACAGCGTGTGAATAAAAAAGGCCAAAACACCAAAGGATCGGTAAACATTGTGATCTTTATGTGCGTAAAAGGTTAGCTTATACATCCAAATCCCTTTTCCCATTTTGATAGAACAAAACCAAGCGAACTTATGGCATCCTAGTATTTCCTTCCTACTATAATAGTCTACAAAATGATTGATGTTCTTACAATTAACAAGAATTTCATAGAAATTTGTAATATCGTTCATTTCTTTGGTTTTGTGCTCCTCTTGTTTGTTTTTGTAAGAGAGCCGATTAGATATAGCTATGTAATTGAGAATTGTTTTAAACCTCTTAAAAATGGCTTTGCTTTATTATTGACACTGTTAAATACCCGGTCAAATCTCCATAATAGATTGTTGTCTTGCACAAATAGTTCGTTTATATGAAAACGGAACAGGGTAGGGAGTTGACCACTCATTAATTCAACAATTATTTGTATTTAATTATTAATACATTAAGCACCCACTTTTTCCAGCTTCATGAGCGACAATTACCTTTTCTGTTCCAAACAATAAAATCCAAAGCATCTCGTTTGATCTAAGGTCTGGACATTCAGGGGATGTGTTCTATTTGTATTTTGGTAAATACGTTTACGTTCACTCAGATGCTGTTCCAGGTTTCGCTGTCAAAATCTTTCAGCAGGATCCAATTATGTTAAAATACATAAACTAGTATAGTTTATGAAAATTCCCAAATCTCACCTGTTACCTGCAAACAGAGAACCTGTAAAAACTGCTCGGAAATAAATTTAATACCACTATACTTTAATTTTGATGAACAACACAGCAAACGAAATGAAATCTGAAACTCAAACTACTGCGAAGGAATACTGGCTTATAAGTTTTAAAACAGCCGACCATTCTCGTTTAATGTTCTAATTTATCACATCTGCCAACTCTGAGAAAGTTTCATTTTGAGGAGGTGGGAGAAATACTCAAAATGCTTGGCTGAATTTTATTTTATTGAATGATGAGGTTGTTATTAAGGGACGTACGAATGCATAACGCGTGCATATCATTCAGGCTTTTGTACAGTTTATCGCGGAAGACTTCTGACGATGTAGTAGGGCAACTCTTCCAGGATGTAATGGCAAAAAGAATGTAGTCCTCATGAGGGTTGTAGGCCGCACCATAGCCGTCTGGTACTACGGCACCGTAACACATGAACGTATCCAGTTTTGTCAAGACCTGACCAACACGAAATGATTGAGAACATATTTTAAGATAGCTTTACAAACGTCTGTTTAAACGTGAAATCTGCAATAAAATGTGAAATGCAGAAGGCCATTTTTTTTAAGAGAAGCGCCATACCTGACTTGTGCTTAAATTGAAGTAGTTGCTTATCCGGTATGCTTCATCTTTAAAAATCTCGGGCATTGGCTCCCCGAGTTCTCGTGAAAGTTCACGAAGTCCGAGAAGATGGCAGTCGAAGCCTTGCCCCATTATATTCTAGACAGAAGAGAAGACTGTTTAGGTTCGAACCTTTTGAATAAATAAACTACCGATGGCCACAATTAGCTTGCCTTAATTGACTCTAATACGACACCGTGGACCTCTTACGAAGGAAAGAGAAAAATCAAAACAAAACGTACTGTAATGCAAATATCCGTCTGTCGTTGTATGGCCGCCCGCAGGAGATCCATTTTTTCCAGTTCCTGAAAAAATACAAGCAGTTAACCTTCCTCAAAATTGATTCTCAGAGTAAATCTCATTCCCTTACCTTCCTAAACTGTGCAAAGCAAAAACAAGTTTTTAAGATTTTTGCAAACATTAATACAGAGAATCTGCGTGTGTTAATTTGGCATTCACATTACATACAGAGAAGAGAAAATTCGTTGTTTTACTGACCGTAGCTGGTCGATCACCAATCATGGAACGCGAAAATTCAAGAGCTTCCGCTGTTGCTGCACGGATATTATCTACTCTTCCCTCAAGAAATCGCCGTGTGGAGGCGCTTTCATATGTAGAAGTTAAGTGCCCGTAGATCCTATGGGTGTGAGCAATAACATACCTTGAGCCGTTCATTAGGGCTTGGAAAAAATTGTAGGATATCTCCGTAATCACGTGTCCAACTGCATTGAAACTTGGCACAGACACAACTAAGACTTATCGTATAAGCAAATATTTCTTGTGTGACGGTGACGTCATATTGTTATTTTTCATGAGTTTGGGCTTTGTTGGTAATTTTGAAATCTATTTAGCGTATTTCCTTAAAGATATGCAGTATTTTTGGAAATGTATTTTCCAAGACCCTAAACGTTCAAAGTAGACGGGTCATTGTCTGGAACTTTTTTGACATCATGATGAGTTGATGACGCAGTCAAAATAGCGATTTTTAGAAATTCTAGTCAACTCTCATTGATTTATAAACGTGAAGACGAACAGAACTTATTTTCAGGACCGACCACGTTTGCAAATATATGTCATCATGTGATTTATTATAAAATATGAATAATCATTGTCCTCTAACAAAATCACTACATATCTCAGTGAGTTCCTACTGGACGTAATGATGGAACCATTACCTGATTTTTCATTATAATTAGCTGCCTTTTTCTTGTTACTAAAATCCCCTTCAAAATAATAAACTTTTTTACGCTGGAAAATGTGGAAAAGCCGTAATGTTGTGTTCCATGTAGCCATAGGCCATCTCTCTTTAAATATTTTTCCCTTTTTTGTCCGTCTATCATTCTCGTCTATTTGGGCATAGAATACCTAAACAACCCTTCCAGTCCCCCAGGTGCCTGAGACCATGCGCATTGGAGCAAGGCGATCGTGATTTTGTGCTTCATTACCTGAAGTAGGTGAATTGTAGAGCAATCTGGATAAAGGCATCCGGACTCATGTTTTGTGACTTCGGAAATCCTTTACCAAATTTTGTGTACCGAAGAAGTTTCAAGTCAAAGTCGTCAACATGCCTGCAAAAGAAAAGAAACACGGTGGGCATGAAATAGTTCAGCATCTTTGGCTTACTCTCAGTGCATGGGGTAAACAATCATAGCAAAAATATGCCACCACTACTCATCAGTTTTCTGGGTCCATCAGCCGCACAGTTTCATTTCTCAACAATATGTGCCCTAGAAAATAGATGGAATTAATTCTGGAGCGACGACACTCTATTCACTTTCAGAGTTCATTCATGATGACTTGAAATTCTCTGAAAAAAAGGAGAACGGCATGGCATTGGAACGGTCTCAGCATCTCAAACTACTTAAAGCTTCAATTTAGTTTTGTTTGTTTGGCCTGCCATACCTTGGACATACCATGCTTTCTCTTTTTCACCTCGCTCTTTTTTCTTCCTTACTGGCATTTCACTATAAGTTGCTTCCGTAAGCCAATACGTGCCACTCAGGTCTTAGCCCCTACCGAGTGTTTTCGATTCGTTGACTGTTTTCCCTGTTCCGTTATTTTTTCACGTCAAGAAGTTTCTCAGATATAGTTTATCCCACTCACCCGCCCCAGCACATGTTGGTTCTCTTTTGTTTCTGATTTATACTTTTTATTTTTAAATTCTTCAGGCTGTTGCTGTTGCTGACAAATGTCACACCTGTGGCATGTGTGGCCATAGGGCCAGGAATTGCCTCTACAACATTGGATTCAAGTCTTCCAACCGTTTCCAATCACGTCCAAAAGCCTGCCCCACACTCTGTTCCTTGACAGTCATAGATGCCCCTCCCACTGGCACTCACCAGCTGCCCAATCAACTCTCCTCGCTCCATCGGGATACGCCTACTCCCCAGTCTGTCAGCCCTGTATGCACGAAGGCCACCCGTTTCCAGGATCAGATGCTAAGTCAACGTAGGGTATCCATCTGTGATAAATTTCCCGATGTTCTAAAGGTACTTGCTTGCCTAAAGGATCCAATTTTCGAGCCGTTACAGTCGGATTAATTATCCAATAAGGGAAGACTAAAACAACATGTTCAGTTTTGGCGTGAATTAGATGCTACCGGCAATTATGTACTGTCTATTACTGAGAATGGGTATTGCATTCCTTTCACCGTTGACCCGCCCCCGATGTTTTTTTTTTGGAATGACAAGTCCGCATTGCGTGAGGCTGATTTTGTTTCTGAAAGTGTTCTAGAATTACTCGCCTCTTTTCGCATTTCTGAGAAATCGTGTCCGTCCTTTGTAACTAGCCCACTCTCAGTTGCTGTCTCCTCGGCCATTTTCATTCTTGACCTCAGTGCCTTGAATAAATTGCCCAAAAGCACTTCAAAATTGATGATTGGAAGATCGGTCTTTAGTATTTGTCTCCCAATGCTCCCATGTTTTCTTTTGATTTAAAATCGGGTTTTCGTCATATCGACATTTCTCCGTTTCCCAGTGCTATTTAGGTTTTTCTTAGCGTATTTATGGTGTCACTCAGTATTTTGAATTCCGTGTTCTACCATTTGGTCTCACAACAGCTCCCTACATATTTACAAAATTACTGAAGCCTCAAGTGAAACACTGGAGGGCATGCGAAATTTCGGTTGCTGTATATTTGGACGATGGGTTTGTGTCCATTCCCTGTTCAGAAGATGCCTCTATGCGCACCTCATATGCCTCTTCTATTTCTAATCATGTTCGTTCAGACTTACTAAAAGCAGGCTTCGTTTACAACATCTCCAAAAGCAGTTGGAATCCTTGTAATAGTCTCATTTGGTTGGGCATGAAATGGGATACAAAGGTAGGCACACTGCAGGTTTTGGAAAGAAGAATACGCAAGCTCCGTACAAGTCTATCCACACTCTCCCTTGGCAAACCTCATGCCTAACTATTAAAGATTTGGATTCTTTTGTTAGGCAATTCATATCCTTGTCGCCAGTGCTGGGTAGTATTACGAGGCTGATGACTTGCCATTGCCAAATGGTAATTTCTCAGGCGGCCGACGAGTTTGAAAACTTCACTCTTAATTGTCCTTGTTCTTCTCAGATCTGATTTTGGAAGGACAACGTCAGCTAGTTGAATGTTCGTTATGTGTTTGCTCACTGAGTTTTTAGTTAATAAAGAAGTTACTTCCACTGACGCAGGGGCTGTGGTTTGTAATGAAAAATACATAGCTCATAAACTTTGGACCCCGCAAGAGTCATCCAAAAGTTCTACTTGGCGTGAGCTTGAAGCTATCTGATTTGCTATCCTTTCATCTCTCTGTATAATCTCATCTTCTAATCTGAAGCTGTTCAAGGATGGTGAGAGTGCTGCTAAAATCATTAATTGTAGTAGTATGAAACCGGCATTACAGGAGATTTCGTTGGACTTTTCTCGAATTTGTCTCCGTAATTCTATCTGAATCGACGTAGACTAGATCCCCAGATCCCTAAACGTGCAAACTGACTTCATAAGCAGATTGATCGATCCAGACGATTGGTCTCTTTCTGGTGATTTTTTTTCTCTCGACTGAGTAATTTGTGGGGTCCTTTTACGGTGGATTGTTTTGCCAGCTTCTATAACACCGAGTTGCCCCGTTTTATTCTCGTTTTTGGAATCCCAGCTCACTTGCAGTAGATGCATTTGCACGGGATTGGTCAAATGAAAATGCCTTTGTTGTCCCTCCTGTCGCGCTGATACCAACCGCTATTTAACATGCAGTTATGCCAATGTACTAGAGTCCTTGTGTTCCCATAGTGGCCATCTCATCCCTTTCGGCCAGTGTTGTGTTCGTACAAACATTGGATGGAACATTTTGTAACTGATTCTGCTGTTGTTGCCCCACAGCAGGGTCGAATAAGAACTCCCTTCTAAGTTCTAGGCTCTCCTGATTATGACGGTGTGGTAGCCGCTGCCTTTTCCGATTTCACCACAGTCGTATCATTTACATCCATTCTCGATTTTTTTTCTTTTCTCATGTAGAGTTCGTAGTCATCCCTTCTGGCTAACCTTCCCGACCAGTTTCAAGAATTACAGGAAGAGATTCTTCGTGATGCTATTTTTGCCAAATCCGACGGCACAGTCGTCTCTTATTTTTAGAAATGTCGACAGTTTCTTTCCTGGACAGAGTCACGTCGTCTTTCCCTATGTCTGCCGTTTTTTGCCCAATTCTGACATTGTTCTTACGACTACCCCCGCCACGCTCAAATGGTTGCACTCCTTAGTAAATACTAAGCACAACCCTGTTGATTCTCCTGGGGTTCAACTCCTTATTGTTAGTGGTTGCCGAGCACAGCACCAACCCCCTGTACAAGAGCAACCATTAAGTCTAGTTCAAGTTAAAGCTATCGTTGATACGTTCGCTCCATCCGGAGGTTCACTTTTGGACTTCAGCACGGCCTGCTCTGCCTCAAGTACGCATTGTTATTTCGTCATAACGAAATGGCGGCACTTGAAGCCAGTCACCGTTCATATGTCGACGACAACAAAGGCATTTCAGTTTTTATCCCCAAGTCTAAAACGGATGTATGCAGGGAGGGCAACACTGGCTGTCTTCAGGTCACGTACCTTAGACGCCTATTCCCCCGTTTCTACCCTTCGTCGATTCTTAGCCGCTTCGGATGTTGCTATGGGCCAACATGTGTTTTTGTTTTCCCCTTTCCTTCCATTTGAGTGCTATAAACGTTATAAACGAAGTGTTAACAGACCACTGATTTATGCAACATGTCGGGAATTATTTATCCTAGCCCGTCAGCGTATTGGTGTTGTTAGTAATCCGTCCGCATACGGTCTCCAAAGTTTACGTTCCGGGGGTGCCTCTTACTTAGCTAATAAAGTAAACTTGGCTGATGTGTCACATGAGTTGATTATGCAACATTGTCGCTGTGGTTACAGAGGCAAAAGATAGGTTCATCAAATGGATATGGAATATCCCTGGACGTTTGCAGTTGTTCGTTCACTCCTTTGTGATTAATTTCTCATGTAGTTTTTGCCATATATTTAGGTACTGTTGTGCTGCAGTTATGACGTGTAATTAAACTCTTTGATGTATTGTGTATGCTGTTTATTTCAGACTTAATGAAATGTAACAGCGTGTTCCGATGTCGGTGGTCATTTTTAACTTAATTTGTTTGCCAGATTTTTCGTAAAAGCGAAAGACAGAATTAAACAAAGAGTCAAGCCCAGGGTGTTTACCCTTCCTTCTGCAAGCAAATTATATAGAGAGAGAAAGTAAGACGACCGGCAGTCATGCCAAAAAAAAGAAGAACCGGATGGTCAATTTACCCCCCCACACACACACACAAAAACAGCAGAGAAATAGACTGTGAGTCAATTTACCTGATGTCAAAGAAATAGAGAGAGGGCAAGATTGAAGATTAGTTAGCCTAACATTAAACAGTGAAAAAAGAAATTAGTGGTACAGGCTGAGTTTATTACCGTACACAAGTAGTGTGTGTATGTTTATGTTCAATTAATCTTTGTTGATGAAAATTAATACTGAATCGAACACTTGGATCCAGGCTCTGACCACAATCCCATGCTATCCAATAAACCATGAGCATATGTAGTTTGTATAAACTAATTGTCCATGTGTTTCCTTGAAGCAGTACATCCATACCAAACTATTTTCCATGCGTATGAGCGAAGCATGAATATTATCTTTTCTCTTTGACGTCAAATCTGGAAAAAAATACGCCAATGTTTGGGACAAATTGTTGCTTCTGAATTTCAAGGAAGCTATTAACAACGGGAAGTGTTTGACGTTTTTGCCTTCTGGAACTGGTAATCAGGGTCCTAAAATACTGAGTGATCCCAGAGAAAAAGAGAAAAAGGTGAAAATTTCAAATACCAACCTGTCCACTTCTGTTCTGGCCTTTTCAATATCTTGGATCGTGTCATCTGACAATTTCCATCTCAGTACTCGTGGACAAGGCAGCTCACATATCGATTGGGCTCGTGTTAACTTCCTTTTGTGGGTCTCAGAGTCACTGAAACATAAAAAGAAACTGTTTAAGCACGATAAGACATCCAAACATAGGAAAAGATGAATTAGCAAATGCCATTCACCGTGCGTAATTGGTTTCCAGCTTCATGCAATATACATACATGTGAGCCATATACATTACCTCCACAAGGTTCAAATCACAGTTCTTTTGAGCACCTGTTAAGCCATTTCGTTTTCATTTTGTTTTTATTGGATTTAATGAATCCACAAAGTTAGCCTTACATCTCGACACCCCTGCATTTTTGTAACAGGGAGGTGAAAGGCGTCCATAAAAAGTCGGTTATTGTTAATTTATTGGAAATCACTTACATGTATCTGAGCAAATGTTCCACAAGCTGGATAACCGCTACGCCCTCTGACGGCGAGTGTTCATAATTCAGTCCACAGGTGCCATCATCGCCAATTATAAACTGTAGATCAATAAGGGGGAAAAGGAGCGTCTAACTCTTCAGGGAACCAAAGTGTCTACCTTTTGTATCGCAGTAACACTGTTATATTATAAAACGTGTAAAAATTGTATTTTGTACATCTTGTCTTACTTAAAAAAACTGCAAAATCTCATATCAGAGTTATCATCGCAGGATTACGGGCAGATCTATGGTTTTTGTAAGAGGTGGGCATTCAGAACGTTTCTTGTTCGTTGGGGAAGGACTGAATGCAGTTGTCGCCGTTGGCGAGGTCATGCATTGGATCTCTCCGTTTTGACCCTAACCAAAATAAGACCTCTACATAGCACATGTTTTCAGAGGGTCCTTCAACCTTTAGACAAAGGCACCTTAAAAAATGGTAATTAGCAGGGGCGTCGGAAACTGGTTGACACAATTATTTTTTTTATAAGTAAAAGGTCTCTGTGTAGAGGGATAGGATCTGTAAATAAACATGAGATTTGGGGGATTTTCATAGACCTTTCTCATAATGACAAGCAAGTCTTTCTCTGAATACAGAAAATCAAAACATACTTCACTTTAAACACTTCGATTCTTGCCATTTTCAGATTTTCTGAGTTGAATATGTTTTCCTGATGTACGTATTTAAAAAGTGCAAAAATACCTTGGCATAATACTGTGTACACAAACAAATAACTCAAAACCAGATATGAAGTTTTGTCCACCACTGACCAAAAGCCCAGGGCTTCAGCAAATAAAATAAATTCCTTTGCTATTGGAGACTGTCTCGGCCCTTTGATGCAGCGTTCCACTAAGTTAATTAAACCATTACACGGACAACCAGGTGGAAAATTGATTATACCACACTAGATTTGCAAATTGGAACTCCCTCTGGAGAAAATCAGTGAATTCTGTTAAGTAGGATGATGGCATGCAGTTTGGAGCTGCCACCTGAGGTCACTTTGAAAATTGTGGACGGGTCAAAGGAACTGAATTTACATCATACACATCAACATGCCGTAGGCGATTAGCGTATCGTTATAGGATTATACTGTGGCATTTTTATCGCCTTGAAAGGCAGGGGAAAACATGCTTCAGTTGATTTCTTGTGTGTACCACCATAGATAAAAGCTTGGGCTTGGTTTATGTAAAAAAAAAATGGTGCTAATGTAACAAAGGTTTACCACAACACCATGCGAATTTCGTCTATGAATGCTCCGTTCGTCGTAAAGAACTGAAGGGAATCCGAGCTGTTCAAAGTTGGGAGCGTTAGTAGAATAACTGGGAGCAGTTATGCTCTGAGGGGATGGCAAGCTAGTTGGGCCTTTAAAGCTGTCTTGGCGCCAGGTTATTTGGTGAAGACCTATTTGGTCACCAAGCTTTTGGGGTGCCGGGCTGCTTTGAGGCCAAGCCATTATGATGCCAAGCAACATGGGCTCTACACGACTGGAGTGTCGAGCCTTTTGGTTGGCAACCTACTTGGGCTCTTCTAGAATCATGTGCTCTTCGAGCGCTAAACAAATTGAATTGTCCCCCACCTGCATAGTTTTGTCGAACCACCTGTTGCCGCTGTTGAGTGCCGTCCCGCCCCCGTGTAGCATCTGATGGGCTAACGGTTCGTCGTCTGCATCCATAGGTTTGCCCACCTCGGCCGGGGGATGTCCCATGTTGGCGTCCAGACTAAGAACGAATATGCAACGTTCGATCATGTCTAGGGAATCGCGGTTTGTTGAGTCTAGATGTGGGAAGAATAGAACCTAAAATCTAAATCACGACAATAACGGTTAGCAAAAGCACACGGTAAATCCTGTTCACAATTATCACTACTTATTTTCGATAATACTGACGTAACTTTCAGTCATTCTCAGATGACAGGGCAGAAACCGGTAGGGCTGTAACACGATTACACCAACTGCATGCTCTTATATTTTATAACAATGACGTAAAGCTTGAATGAAGAATGCCGGAATATAATAAAACATGGCAGATAATATATCATTTCCAATCAATCAGTTAAGTAAGAGCCGAATAAAACAAAAATCAATTCCTTGGTGATCCAAAGTCGCCCGATACGGATTTGAACGTTAACTGTTGTAACTAATGAAGAGAAAAGTTACAGAGCGCCCTCAATAGTTCGTTTTTTGCACCTGAATGCCTCCTCAATCACGTTTAAAGACTATATTTTTTACTAGAATGCCTGTCAGTTTTGCTGTTAAAGTGCGTTTGGTGAGATTTGGGAGTACAACCTTTGGCCTTAATCTGGGACAATCGTCGTTACACGTTTATCTAAAGGGTAGCTGCAATCAGTGTTTTTGTTACAAACCTGTAAAATGCACCTTTATACCTCAATAAACCTTATTTTAAACTTTGGTTTCACTATTTCAAAGGGTATTTTAATGCCTTTTTGGTTTTTATGCTAATGAGTGTTTGCATATTTATGAACAAAACGTCATCTCAGGAAGAAGCCTCAATGTTACATTGGTTTGTACACAAAAAGGTTCTGCGTTTTTTGTAGATTTTCCTGGACTAAGTTTTCTCTTCTTTGCTGATTCATTGTATTTAAGAAACCATCAATCCTCTCTCAGAAATGTTTTGAGTAAGTAGATTCTTGGTTCACAATTTGAACAGAAATACCTATGTACTGAACCGTGTCTCCCCAAGATGACTTCACAGCAAAAGCACCCTCAGTTGTCTTGGAAAACATGGATAATTTTGATTGTTTAAAAGTGTGCACTTTTCAATGCATTTAACCAACTAAGAAAGTGCAAGAGCTTTCATACATTGAAGAAAAGTACAAAGATGCTGGAAAATTGTGTCGAAGAAAAATTCATTGCAGCTACACTTTAAGTCATTGTGCAGTGGATGCATGTATGTGCATTCCAGTGAATTTGATTACTTGCGTTTTATTTTCTTTTTATTCCACGGTCACCATGTTTCCTGTTCCATGTTGCAAAGATCTCGCCCCTGGTTTCAATCCACCCTTTGTGTTATTTATTCACAGTTTCTTCCAGATTAGTACGTCACCCCCAAATTATTCTGGTCAATTGCAGGTCTTAAATCTCTGGATTTCTGATTATCAGGGCATCATCTATACAGACAGTTTTCTTCATTAAGTCACCCTGCTTGTTATTTGCCATACGGTTGTTGTGTTACCCTTTTAGGCCATGCTTCCTCTTCAAAGTGAACCCATTCACTTCTTCACACGTATGCACCTGTAGCAAATCTCGTTTTTTAGTTTGTGAGGCTTTGAAAGCCACCCTGACGAAACTCAACGTCATCGACAGTATGCTCTGTCCGAAACATGGTGGTACCAAAAACTTCAATACAATATACAAACTCACTTCAATATACAAACGTTCAAAAAAATCTCATCTTATAATGACAGCTTACATTAAAACTTCTGCACCAATCACACGAGTTAAATCGGGACTTGGTACCAGTCCCTATAATTTTTCATTATTAGGATAAGTTCCTTGTGCGTTTCTTGCTCATGTGATAATTAAGCTGTGATGTGAATTTGACACGTCATAAGAAACATTTAGCGAGAGCCAGCCGAGACAAATGTGTGACTGAGGGCAAACTCAATTGGCATGGCTATTCCCCCCTTTTAATATTCATTTTAACTTTGGTTTTCATATTTGATCCTACTACAAAGAAGCATCAATTTTCAGCTCAAACTGTTCAGTTCGTGTAAGCAGTACATGAGGACCTTCAGGTATTCAACGTGTCCACACGCAAAGAAGTTTATTGAAACTCCATCGCCTTATATGGTATCATTACGACAAAAAGTAATCGACTGCAGTGAAACCAGCCACGTCGTCCTCTACTAAATACAGAAAATTCACATAGTAAATACGAACGATGCATGAACAAAATTACTTAACCAATCCTTGTGCCGATAAAGCTTCTACATCACTCCCGCCTAATGGAATTGCCAGTACGTCATCATATCCCCAAACGTGATTTATACCGATCTCTTTGCTTCCGTATCTCCTAGTAAAGTTTTCCGTTCACAGAAGACTGTAAAAAGAGACCCACGTTTGCACCGCCTTAAGCACCCGCAGCATGACTTGATTAATATTTGCTACTTCCGGATCCTCCCTCTGAGCTTATAATATATAGCTTGCTTGCGGCACATTCAATCAGCAAGTAGCCTGTCAAGGTAAAGTGGTAGGGATAGTAGAATGTAGATAAATATATTGCTATTTGTCTTTGGCACTTAAGCCCGGGACGACCGCGTGTCCTAGATTCGTCTTTGTCAAATGCAGCAGCTTAGCAACTCACATACCCCTGCGGTTCATTTGAAGTGTATCGCAGGCTTCAAGATGAGGAAAAAAAATTTTCCGATGACAGTGCCATCATAATAACACAAAACATGAGAAAGATAAGAAAATTAAGAAAATAAAACTAAATATATAACTAGATAAGACAATTTATATATGAAATTTTATTTTTAAAAATACGGGGAAATCACAAAGCCATTGGCCAGCACATAAATTCCAAGTCAAATTGCATACAACACGTAATTCCTTGGGTAATCTTGGCTTTGGATCTTGGCTTAGAGGTTACTTGAAACCATGCTCGTGGAGACCATTAAAAACACGAGAGCTGCGCCTTGTTTGAATCTAATCTGGGTGACCGTGATGTATCGAACTCCACATTTTTCCCAGACCTTTTCAATCGATCACACAGGTGAAAACAAACCCAGGCTCTCATGCGTTTGTGCTCCTTTTCAAGTGATTATCCAGAGAAAACACGCTTTGACACAGGTAAGTTAACTGCACGACATACAAAATGAACAGTGCCGTACTGAATGTGCATTCATTAGACAGGTAAATCACGTTAAGTCTTCGAACAGAATTATTCCGTGGTCATAAATAATTGTACAGAATAAAATTATCATGCTTACGAAAGCTTCAGTCTTGAAAAAAGCCTTTGATTTCCATTTGTTTCCCTAACAGTAACGTCAGTACCGGTATTTTTCTTCCAATTTATTCTATTGTCATAAACTGTGAAAGAAAATTGCCCTTCACAAAAGCTTCAGTTTTTGGAAAAATTGCCTTTGAAATCCCACTCGTTGATACACAACGTGTAGTCTATGTGAAAACCGCGCGCTCGAACGCGGAGGTTACACGGAGTAGAACGGGCAAATACTCATATTACACAATGTGTACATCTGGGATTCGAGGTATCATACATAGTTGGTCAACAGCATGTTATATTCTGAGGGAATTCTTTCTACCTGGCAACCTGTAACGGCAAGGCTGTTTTAGTTCCCTTTTACATATTTCTCAACTATTTTTCAATCTTGAGTCATTGCCGATGTTTAATGATGATGGGAAAGAGAATTCAAGGTTGTAAATCTGTAAATTGTAAATCTTGTGGCACGAGTCAACTCATTTCAATATAATGACTCGAGTTGAGTCATTTACCTGTTGGGTCTCGAGTCGCCAGATATTGTGGCTTGAGTCAGACTCAAATCTGGACTGGACGGATCCAGACAGGCTTTGCAAGAAGGGTGTCATTCATCACATACAAATGCAAGTTCTTATACTTTGACTTTGAAGCAGCCCATTTAGATCAATTAGGGCGTTCCTTTTATTTTTTTAGTTCTCACATTGTTGATAAATTATAAAACGAAGGGAAAGACTTTTTTCAAGACAATTATCATTTTTCTCTTTTTTTCTTTGTACGAATTTTGGACACGGTTGGCGACATAAAAAAGGCTTTTCCCTTTGTCACAGCAAAAAAAGGTCAGTCGGAAATGAGAATAGAATGAACTGTGGACACCGTAATACAATTTAGGGCACACACTTTGAAGGAGTCATTTATTACAACGATTTCAACATTTAATTGATTTTAAATTGGTCAGAAATTTTCTGGCGTCATTGTGAAAGTCGCGATCTTAAAACAAAACAGGTGTTATCCGCCAGCCGTCTAATTACTGGAGTCAATGACTCGACTGGAGTCCGACTTGAGTCACAATTTATGGCGACTCGACTCCAGTTCCGACTGGTACATGACTCTACTCAAGTCCCCTATCAGAAGACTGGATTCGATTGCAAGCTAACAAGACTCAAGTCGGGACTCGAGAAAACCGCTCAACGAGAAATAGTTGCCATCAGACGGTGCTGGTTTATCGTGCTCGCGTTGTCACAAATACAGTACGGTATCCTACCCATACCCTACATACCAATAATAGCGGCTGTTGCCCGTCCTCCATAGTACAACAAACAAACACCATGTCCTGGACTAACACCATGTGGTTCAAGTTAGTAGCAGGTATTGCTAACCGGGAACCTGACTTAGAGAACATTTCTTAATTTGTGATGTCATCATTGTCTTGGCAATTTCTTATTATTCTAGACTCTTGGTGGAACGCCGGCTACATTTTACCGCCTGATTCACACAATATTGTGCCTTTATTTCAAAACACAAATGGACATTTACATACAAGAAATTGATGGGATTTCAAGCTATTCATGGTGACAGACGACTAAGATGGAAAGCTTGCGATAAGACACGTCTCCTGACGACGGACAGA